TTATCACGAGAAATATAATTTTTTCTTTGTTTTATTCCTTCTCTTCTGAACATCCACTCATATACAAAGCGTGAAAATAACGTAGTTCGAAAACAATATTCCCGATTCCAATTGCGAAAACTCGAAAAATTAAACCTTTATGTGCAATCGTTTCAGGCGCTCTCATGTCAACACTTAGATGAGATGGCAAATTCCGTAGCGGCAGCAGGACAACTTCTTGTCGCGAAACGGCCAGAAACAGAGACCACGGTTAGTCTTGCTATATTTTTTTTTTCGTTGGAAACTCGTTATTTTTTGCTGCTTGTAAGATTCCTCTGGAGAAAATCGCGTAATTAGGAGAAGCTGAATCAAAACCTTCAAAATTTCTTAAACTTTGTAGCTTTCAGTTATCAGATCAGCTTACCTAGAAGAAGCTTTGCACTTGAAAGCTCTGATGAATTCACTGAGACGTGAATTTCAAAGTCAAAAGATTTTGTGCCATAGTATCTATCTACAATGAGCTAATAATTAGTCCTTTTACATGTGCAATTCGTTACGCTTAGCAATGTCAGTTAGCAAAGTTGAGCATTCAAATGAAAGCTAAAATAGTGTGGTCAAATTTGTCATAATGTAAAGGAAAAAACCTAATAACCTAAGATTTTGGTAACCTTTCTGTGATTTCTGTTTGCATATGGTCGAACTAATTTACTACATGAAATAAGGGCTTATTCATTATATTTTACTAGCTATGTTTGGAATATTGAGTTAGTCTAGTGAATTTCAATAATTCACTAAGCAGCGGGATCGGACAAAAGCACTTGAGGAAACTAATCTAAAGGGAGCATGACGTATGAATTTATAAATGACAAGGCAAACGCAAGCGCAGAAACATGGACCATAAATGAGATGAATGAATGAAAATGAATTGTTGAGTGATTGATTGAATGAATCATTGGATAAATGGAAAGAAGATGGTAGTTGTTCCTTTAGAGCGCCCTCAGTTCAAACAACTTTCGGATGAAACCTATTGAGAATAAATCCATTATTATATGTTGTTCACGGAATAAACTTGAATCTAATCCTG